TCTCTCTCTCTCTCTCTCTGTGTGAAGTTGCATGTTGAGTTTTTTCTGGAAACTTTAATGAATCAACTATTTTTTTTTAAAAAAAATTGAGGAAGAGGGGTTAGCGCAGTGGCGCATACCTTCGCTCAGCGTGTACCATGTCCCGAGTTCGAGTCAACCGGTGGGGAATTGGGGAACCAGTATTGATCCCCCTTTTTTAAAGAAAAAAAAAAAAACTATTATTTTTTTTTTTTTAAAATTTACACATGTGGGATACTCTGTAGTGGATATTGCAACTCAACATGAGAATTTTGTGAAGAGGACTGCAATCAAATTGAACTTCTCACTGGATTATTTGCAATAAGTTAAATGGAATAGGAAAATCTGTTTCTTTTCTGAGTTTTCCCTCAATTCGGTTCACTCTTCTATTGTGAGTCTCGCCTATGGAAATTGTAAGTTTCGGTTAAGAACTCCTGTATAGACGTGTTTCTATCTGGTCTCATATCGGCAATGGAGAATTAGTTAATCGATTTCTTGGTTGTGTACTTGTGTCTCTTTCCTTATGACTTTGATCTTCTGAGGTCTTAATACTGGGTTTAGAGTAAAAATGCATATTCATTTAGGCCATTTGACCTATGAGAGTACCTATACACAGTGAAAGGTTTTCGATTTTGGTCTCTGGATTCTTGCCCATTTTACCATAATTTTCTCGCCTTTTTTTTTTAAATTTCTTAACCATCCCCCGGTTCGAAGAAACATGCTCATGAGTTCTTGGATTCTAGAAATCATTCTTGGAGCCGCCGAAAAATAGTTTCTAGAACAACTGTTTGCCTATTAATAGAGTAATAGTATGCAAACGGCTAAATTGCATTTTTAGTGAACCAGCCATAGCAAATTTAGTCTCAAGATTCTAACATTTCGTCTTTTGGTTATTGATTATTTTGCTGCAATTTTAGTTCTTTTTTTTTGCAACAAATTCCCAAATTTATAGATTTGTTATTAGCAATTTAAGTCCTTAATTTTAAATTTTGTTGCAATTTTTGTCCTCAAATTGCTATGCCGTTAAACCAATAGAACTCAAAATGCATTTTTTCTGTATGCAAACGTATGACTAAGAATCTAAGATCAACTTTTGTTGATTTATTACACACAGATAAGGAAGAAGATAACCTTCTCCAGGGGATCAACAGCTTCCGGCAGGCGTCCAGCCTGGCGCCCCTCGCGAAGAATGACCGCGCGGAGTGCGTTGCTGACGAGATAGCCGACCAGCTGGAGGACACGCGGTGCCCCGTTGGGCCCACGCCCGAGAACATGTCGTCTCTCGCCAGCTACCCCGAGGCCCTGGGCAAGTGCCACGTGGACGTGAGCACGACAGGTGGCGGGTCGGTCCTTCCAGTTTGCGTGCCCCACCGCGTGGCGACACTTGTCCTAACCAACTACACGCACTCCCCACGGGCCTCGAGGGTCCTCAACGACTCGAGGTTCACTGGGGCCGGAATCGGGACAGAGGATGACTGGACTGTGCTTGTACTCACGACTGCAACAGCTGGGGGAAGCTTTGCCAGCGGGGCCGCCAACTTGCTGCTGACATGGCAGACTGTTGTCTGTGCTGTTGTTTTTGTGTTGGCTGGGTTTTCTGTGTAATGATGTGTGTTGTGTGTTTGTTATGGCTTATGCTTGTTTTGTGGTCTGTTGATGTTTTGAATATTATTGGCTAGGCTGTGCATGGTTGTGATGATTGTGTGTGAACCAAGTACTTTTAATTCTCAATGTACAATGATGGTGTGTGGGGGTTGGGCTGTGTGTATTTCAGGTTAGAGGCAATTGTGGGTCCAACATTAATGTAGCGAATGTAGTAGAACTATTAAACGAAAAGAGTCGCTCATGAGCTCGAAAAGAGTGGCTCATAAGCTCGAGCTCAAGAAGGCTCAAGCTCGGAGCCCACTCATTTATTAGGTGAGCCAAAATCAGACTGTTAAGGCTTGAGCTGAGCTTTACTCATTTATCAAACGAGTCAGAGTTGAATTTGAGATCCAACTCGCCTTAAAAAGAGAAATTTTTATATACCTTAGCTTCATTTATCAAACGAGTTAGAGTTGAATTTGAGATCCAACTCGAGTGTCGATGTAATTGACCTCTCCTCTACTCAATTACACTCGCCTCAAAAAAGAAATTTTTATATAATATTTTATACTGAAGTTCTTAAAGTATGATTTCACCTCGTTATTATTAATATTATTGGCTCGAGATGTACTAGTAGTCCCTACTCCTTACTTGGAATTAAATTGCAACCAATTTTAAAATTGCTATTATTGTAGAAATTATTTGTGCGATTTTAAGAAGTTTGGTTATGTCAACCAATTTTTATTAGATGATCATTTAAAAATGTTTAATATGATGAAAAAAAATAAATAAATAAGATTGGATAGCTTGAATAAATCTTTTTGTAACAGAGTTATTGATCAACACGTAACTTCTATACTCTTTACTATTTATTGTGAATTTATAATAAGTTAATGTTACTAAAAACTATTATAGTTAAAATTATTACATTAATTAATAAAAAATGTTCCCATTCTTTTTCCCTCACATTAATTTAAACAATGAGTGTGATTTTTTTTTTTTTTTCAAATTTGAATTAATTGAATAACCCTAAATCATATTATTAGAATGTAAGCAAAATATAACAATAAATGCATAGTTTTTAAACACGTCCCGCTAATCGACCCAGGCAGGTCTCTGGGTCACCGGTTCAACAGTCGTGTCACCGTGTCAATTGCTGAATTGGATAATTAATTTTAAAATTTTTAAATTTATATATAGAGTATTTTGTCATATAAATATACATAAAAAGTAACAAAATTAAATGTTTGGCATGTAAAATTTGTAGATTAAAGTGGTAATAATATGTATTTCATGATAAATATTTACCATATAAATATATATACATAATTTTATTTTTTTCGTTTTAAAAAATAAATATATATAGGGACCGAGTCAATCGGGTTGATCCAGTCGAGTCAATGTCTCAAGTCGACCGGGTCAAAGCAGAGTTGGCAAGGTTTTGAAGGTTATTTGGACCGTTTTCAATTCTGAATCGACCGGGTCATAGGTCGAACCGCCGGTCCGGTCCAAGTTGAAAAGCACTGAATAAATGTAACTAAATTTCAATTTAGTGGAATTGAAAATAAACACATATCCATATTTGTTTAGCGGTGTAGATAAAGAACAATCCGAAGAAAATTTGCGGTGGATGACGTTGCTTTCCTCGGACGTGTCCGCCGCGTGCGCCACTACGTTACACGTAGCACACACACACACCACCCCATATCGCCACGTGTCCACCTAATGCCACGTTCAAGCCCACTATAAAAGCCCATCAAAATCTCCTCTTTACATGCACCATCAATGTTCATCTCTTCAAAACTACTGTCTGTAAGAACAACAATTTTAGCTCTTAGCTCTCATTTCAACAATCAATTGATAGTAACTTCATTTTGCAGCTCCAAAAGGCCCAACATTAACAGTTTCTCGAGCAAGGTGAAAAAAACAATGGCCCAACAATTCCCCCCTCAGAAACAGGACACCCAGCCCGGAAAGGAGCATCTCATGGACCCGACCCCACGGGCCACCGCGCAAGAGTACAAGCCCTCTAACAAGCTCGTGGTACGTATGCTTGTTAGATTATCATGTAATCGTCCGAGTTCGAGATACGAGATAGTTGATTTAACGGTTACAAATCTCGATGAGATGGTTTCGGGACCGTAGCATCTTCCTTTGGTTTTTTCATGTCCGATAATTTTTTTTTAGTTTGAACACAAAAATTTAATTAAAATCTAGTGTCTATTTGAACTCTCATCATGTTCATGTCCAATCGATCTCGATTGTGCAGGGGAAGTTTGCCCTAGTCACCGGAGGCGACTCCGGCATTGGCCGGGCCGTGTGCCACTGCTTCGCCCTGGAGGGCGCCAGCGTGGCATTCACGTACGTCAAGGGCCACGAGGAGAAGGATGCAAACGACACGTTAGAGATGTTGAGGAAGGCCAAGCATGAAGGGGCTAAGGACCCGTTCGCGGTGCCGGCTGATCTAGGTTTTGATGAAAACTGCAGGCGGGTGGTGGAGGAGGTGGCCGCCGCTTTTGGCGGTAAAATCGACATTCTCGTGAATAATGCGGCCGAGCAGTATGAGGCCAGTTCGGTGGAGGAGATCGACGAGCCGAGGCTCGAGAGGGTCTTTCGTACCAATATTTTCTCCTACTTCTTCACCACCAGGTGCATACATATATACTAATTTTATTACATAAATTGTTGAAACATATAGTTGGTTAAATGAAACATTGATCTAATTGCTTTGCTTGAATTGTTGAAAAATATAGATATAGTTGACTCAATAAAATTTGATCAATGTAAGTTGCAAGTCCTAAAGTTCAATTTCTGATCAAGCCATAAAGTCACATTCAATTTCAAATTCAGAGAGCGGAAAATTTTATCTTTAGAGATTAGCATAACTGAAAATTTTATCTTTAGAGATTAAACATATAGAGATCGTCCCGCGATACCATTTTGATTGAAATAAAAATTCAAATTGTTATAAGCGTGAAATTTATTGTTACAATAAACTCTTAACAACTAAAGCGATAAAAAAAATAAAAAATTCGAGTGCAGGCATGCGCTGAAGCACATGAAGGAAGGCGGGTCGATAATCAACACGACCTCCGTCAATGCATACAAGGGAAATGCGAAGCTGCTCGACTACACAGCCACAAAAGGTGCTATCGTGGCTTTCATACGTGGCCTTTCCCTCCAGCTGGTCGACCGTGGCATAAGAGTTAACGGGGTTGCGCCAGGACCCATATGGACCCCTCTTATACCAGCCTCGTTCACGGAGGATGAAAGCTCGAATTTTGGGAAGCAAGTCCCGATGAAGAGGGCAGGGCAGCCTATTGAGGTGGCCCCTTCGTACGTTTTTCTTGCCTCGAATGTCGACTCGTCTTACATAACGGGACAGGTGCTCCACCCGAACGGGGGCACAATCGTCAATGCGTGATCTTATATATATGTATATGTAATGCACGTATATAGCTTCTAGCTCCCCTTTGTTTTTGGTGGTGTTTTGGATTTTGGGTTTGTAAGGGGTAATGCTTTTGTGATATGTGAATAAATAATGTTTAGCGTCAACTGACTGATGAATTCTTTCAAGACCCGCATAGAAACATGAATTAGTATAAATGTGCCACTAATTTAATTAATTTGGATCACCTGGGAATATGAATTAATTGATGTTTGCAATCAGAACACATCGGCAGCAGCGAATAGTATCGTCGTATCGTCGTGCCAAAAGTCGGGTACAACAACAGAAGATTCGAAAACTACAACAATCAACATAATATAAAAACCAAGATCATCACCACCATCTTCAACTAAATTCCGGCAGACTTTTTAACTACTTACGGCTTTTGGCCTGACCTCAATCCCCTGAACAACGACGCCACTTTTGCAGTTACCGTGCCTCAGCCTAAGCACACCAAACTCCAGATCAGCATTTTCTCCTCCCTCGACAAAATACTCTCCCAACTCGACTTCCATCCACCCGTCACCCCTTGGTGTTGGGTGCCTGATATCATTAGCATTCAGAGCAGCTGCAATCTCCTCCGTCTGCTGGTTGGGCCCGTCCGAATCTATAAACACCCAGCACTTTTCAGTCTCCTGACCGGTCAACTTCACAAAAACCTCGGCCGGGTTGTTATGGATTCCTTTAGCCTCCGCTTTGAGGGCGAAAACTAGGTATGCCACGTAGCATGTACTGGGCGAAAGCATATTGGTACTAATTTTGCCTTGTATTTCGAACCAGCACACCTTGACAAGCTCTGCCACCTCAGGGAACCTGAAGCAAGCAAATGGACTGAGCGTTTAGTTCTTATGTTTATCGTGCAGAATGAACGACGAATACCACAATTGATTAGCACAAAGCTGCAAGGACCTGATTTGTAATAACCAAGAAATAGAGGGGGGTGTTCGAATTTACCTAGACTCGGGAAGAGGGATCCATCGCCAATAATGGGGCGTATCGCTTTGGCTCCAAACGATAAAGAGATCTCTTGCTGCTATCATGTAGCATTTCTTTCCAGTGTTTTTCTCTAATGAAAAGCTCTGTTCACATTAGACAAGGACAAAATAAGATGATCAAAAAGAGGGTGATAGAAATACCTTCTCCAAGCAACAAAATATTCCATTTCAACATTTATCAAGAAAAGGGTCAATCATCATCATCATCACAGTGTTATTGATGCAGACCCTAGTAAGATATTGTCCGCTTTGGGCTACTTCCGCCACCCGCACGACTTTGTTCTTGGCTAGACTTCAATACACACCCACCAAAACGCGTCTTACTAGTAAATGTATCCACATCCTCATATAAGGCCTGCTTCGTTTCCTTTCAAACCCGATGTGGGATGCGCTGCATCAGTTATCTCGATCATTTTCATGGCTTTCAATCTGTCAGTCCAATCACAAGTATCTCGATGCAATCTAAGAAGGTAACACTAATACCAGCATAATCGGGAGTCCGAAAACCCACAAACAAACAAACGATGCAACAAATTTGATAGCACAAATCAGAATGTATAATCAAATGAACAATAAACCCAGTTTCCAATCAATCTCGTCCTAAAAACAGCCAAAAAAAAAAAAAAAGAGAAATAAACCGACCTTGCGGCCGCCATCGATGATAATTGGATGATCAGACAGGTACATATACAGGTCCTTTAAAGAACGGAATTGAGAAAGCCGGGCATCAGGATCGTCGACGGCGCCGGCCATCAGCTCGCGATAATCGGAAGGCAGGAACCGATCCCAAACGACGTCGGATCGGGAGGCGGAGTCGAACGTGGAGGCGACCGCCGATAGCCGGCAGGCGTCCTTAGGGCTCGTGAGCGAGAGGACTTTGGCTATGCAGCCCTCCGGAAGCGCGGCTATGTCACCGAAACTCTGCAACGCCATTTTTTGACGACCTTCTGTAGAAACCTTCTCTAGAAAACGAGGTAGCAGTGAAGTTCACAAACTGCGAGGCCACCCTTTATATATACAGTAATGTTGTATCTTTGCTTGTATTTTGTACGTGTGTGTGATATTCGGATATTACCCGAAGACCACTGTCAAAGAGTAAAGGAAATTATATAATTTCTTCTCGTATTGTCTCTCTGCACTGAACTGAAGAATATATAAATGCACTTACTTAATCGAAATGGTACAGTCTCGTTACGGAATTATTACGTCGGGATTCGTACTCTTAGATCAACTATCCCTAACGGTTGCATGAATCCCGACGGAATAATTCCGTATCGAGACCGTAGTTTTTCCTTCTTACTTAGGGCATCCACATTGGTTATTTTTTATTTTTTTTTCTATTCATTCCATTAAAAAGTTACACTCTTTCTCATCTACATCATCTACACGTCATTTTTTTACTTATTCTCTCTTCATTTAAACACACACATCCCTACGCATTCCTTTAAATACAAATACAGAACTCATTATATCCATTCATTCAATATAAATTTTAATATTATATTCTCAATAAAAATAAATATTTAATATTTTTAAATTATTATAATAAATTTTAAATGCATGAAAATAAAAGAACACTACAAGACCAAAATAACTTAAATTAAGATTACCCGAGAAAAAAATAGTACAATTACAAAAAAATAATTTTTTTAGTGGCTAATAAAATGAGTCCAAATATGCTCAACTAAATCGACACGAAGTTGATGATACAATGTATCTCGCATCTCTGAACTTCTACGGATATAATTTTGAAATTCTCGATTTGAACCCTGGACAAGTTGTGCGGGTTTTTCATCCTCGTCATTGTGTCATTGTTATATAAATAAAATTTGAATATATATATATATATATATATATATATATATAT